TCTTGTCCTGCTTGCAGGAACCGATGCACACAAGAAGCAACAGACGCCGACCGTGCTGTATGCGATTCCAGCCAACCAGTCTCTGCAGCACCACCATGCGCACCAATTGCACCAGCACGTTATTCAGACCTCCACCGGACCAATGATTGTCCACTCCGCACAATTGGCCAACCTACAAAGACAGCAGGGGATCGCCGCCGGGCTAATTAGTCAGGCCCCCGGGCAGGCTCAGGGGAAGATACTTGGACTAGTTCAGACTGCGCCGCTCACCACGCCTTCAACGAATTCTACGCCTCCCCCGACAGCCTGCGAGGGAACACTGGGGCAAAGAGCCCCCGCGGGAGAGACTGCAAAAACGACTGGAAGAACTAGCGAACTGGTCTGTACGTGTCCCCCGGAGCTGCATCAAGGTAAGCTAACGGGGTGGACTGGTTCTTATCGCGGTACAGTGTGTCTGGTTATAAACGCGTTAACAATTAACGTGACCTCCGCGTGGATAATAAAGTTGCAAGTTAAGTTGTGTATGTTTACTTAGCTCTGAGCTGCTCCTGGTCTGGCAGCAGTGGTCATATATGCAGTAGGCAGTGCGTTGAACAAGGAAATTGGCCAGAGTCGGTGTCGGTGTACATGGGAATGTCTGTAAGCCTCAGTAGTGCAGGGGGAACGAAGAACAGGCCACCAGAGCTAAACGCCCTACTTTATTGATTCGCATTAGAGACTAGAGCCTTTGTGGAACCAGTGAGTGTCCCACATCTCTGCGATTGATATGTATTCCCTTAGCGACAACTCATTTGACGCATGAACACGATCTAGTGGTGAGTCATGCGCCTCTCTAAGCCCTCGCACCATCCGAGCATCGTCATACTACACTCACGTTGTTATAGACTTGCGTGCTATTTGCACAGAAACCGTTTGCAATACATATGATCATTATCACATAAATTAACCTCCGTCATCGGAGACACGGGGGGAAAGATGGCACTAGCCGATAATCGTTTTTAATTCTGAAAGTTCCGATTGTGGATACCTGCAGAATTATGGATCAAAACAAAGTCAACGAAAAGAAAAAGGGGTAGGGTAGAAAGTACAAATATTTGGTTCAACGTGTCGACAAACGTTTTGACGTCCTATTAAAGGGAGAATGAAAGTACGTTAAACAAAAAGTGTGTGCCATCAACAAATTCCGTAAAAACAATGCAGTCTTAGCACGTTAAAACACAAAAATTACACAGGGCTACCCTTTAGACATAGAGGGAACAAGCACTTCGCATTCGGTCAAAATATTCCTCCTCGACTTCATTGAGAGGGAGGAAAGTTGTTCGTTAGCTTCTGGAGTACTATTCACAGTGGCGTGACGAAACTTATGAATTATTTACTAAAAATGAGAAATACGAGCAGCGCTGAAAAGGGTTACTTACGCGAGGCAGTAAAATGTAGTACCATAAAGCGTAGTCCCAATAATTTTTGTTCATAGTGGATTCCAGCTTTTCAATACTCGTTCTTCCGCTTAACTACAAATGCTTTAGTCGCGTGTACTCCTCCAGTACGTCTTGCTGTTTCTATAAATCCACACATATTGTATAAAAGGTGCACAGGAACCCGCTTCCTTGCGTTCATTTCGTTTTAACTCATAACTTCTTCAGGTGTTACAAGGTTTTCATTTAAACACTGATTTTTAAGTTTAGTTGTTGATGCTTTGCGAGCCGTACGCTTTTAAGTTACTGGAAGCAATATCATTCTACGCTATTACGAGAGCGCATAATGTGTTCACAAAATGTTTTAGTAAATGCATATCACAAGGCAAACTTTAAAAACAGCACTGGGTAATGTACAGATACGGTATTCCCAAGAGAAGTATTTCGCTGGCTGAAAATTTCTCCAACGTTCAAATGCTTTTGATTCCATAATCCATGCCTTCTTGAGTGGACAAGTTGAGGAAGCCTACTTTACCACCAAAACAGTATTTGAAAGGAGGTTACATGAAACATGTTTCAAGTAATAGAGACATCGAAAACGAAGTCAGAACTTCAGGGTATTAAAGAAGATAAATTAAATGAGTGGATATTCTGCAAAACAAAAAGCTTCATGATAATCAATATTGCAAACCACATAAGTAGTCCTTTTTAAGCGAGGTCATGCTTCGCAATTTCAGATATTTTTTCATGGGCTGCCTCAGTCAGTGTGTATGAAATGGTTAAGGCTGCGGCAGCGACCAAGTCGGCCTCTAATCTAACTCTGCATGCTGTTTTTCTTAATTTGTTTTGTAACTCTCTCAAACGGCTGCACTAAAACAGACGCCGATAAGACGTTATCAGCCTATTTAAAACAAGGTAGTAACAGTTGGTTTAGTAGTTGTCATACATTGCACACTTTGTTTTATTAAATATCATCGGATGTGCTCAGTTTTCAAGCTTGTCTTCATCATAGGGAATGTCTTTTTTATATGGCCTAGGGAATAAACATTCAGAAGGTACTCTCTTTTGAGTAGTACTCGTGAATGAATCGCAACTGCTTGTCATTGTGCCTAGACACGAAAGGCGCAGTTGTTCTGCCGTATTAGTACAGCTTTAGAGCTGTAGTGGTCGAACATATTTACCTGTGCCTCTAAACCAAGACATGGCATAGCGCCAGTCCATTTCGATGACCGATGAGTATAAATTGAGTTTTGGGCGAGATTCGACAATATTTTCGTTTCGTCTTTCTTAAATATTCGCCACAGTTGCTGCATCCACATGTGGTATGTTGTAACGGGGGCAAACTGAGATGTCACCGTCTGATTACGTCCTGTTTAAATCCCCACGGAAAGGACATAAAAACAAGGGCGAAAAAGGGTAAGCCACCCGAATGAGGGTTTTATTGTGTAGAGGACCCGGGTCTGCTGTCTCGGCTGGCAGTGGCCGCGGGCGAAGCCCGGACCGATATGGACTGCGTCCAATCACACGCCTGAGGGTGTCTGCAACTCTCGACAGGTCATTGTGTGACAGTTGCTTATAAGTTCTGTAAATATTCTCCTGTTTATCTAAAAAGTCAGTTTCTGGCAAAAAAATATTTTTCAGCAACTCTTCATCAGGCCAAACATTTGCAGTGAAAATGAAAGCTGTACAAAACAATTAAAGTTTGAACATGTCGAAAAATCCATAACTGTCTGACATGGGCGCCGATTGGCCACTGCGGTCTATATCAGTCTGTGCAAGTAGACAAGATCGGCGTGTTGGGTGAGCGACTGCCACTAGTGGGTAGGGGCGAAATGTCATCGCCACCTGGCGTCGGTATCGCCCACGGAAGTGTAAGGGCTTGTGTCAGCGTCTTCTGACAAAACAGCACTGGATTCGTTAGCCGTGTAGCTACTGCTTCGGCGTTTGCGAGCACCCGTTGGCGTAGGCACTTGGAAATGTTAGCTAGTGATTATGAAGCGAGTTCAAGTGTTGCATGATTGTGCGTTGGATTGCTCGAAAAGTGTCGAGTTTTGAAGTCGCCTGCTGACTGGCCGCAGGGTGGCGCAGTCACGTATGCGAGCGTGTGTGTGCGAGTGAATATCTGTCCAGGGTTTTAACGTCAGTGAGTGGAGATGGTCAGCAGCGCAGACAAATGACCTTGAGGCCTCGATCTTGACCTTGAACAGGGAAGCCTTGTTAGCTGTGGGCCACAGAAGTGATTTGTCACGACAGCCTGCGAGGTTATGTTGGCAGTCGGTTAGCCTGACTCCTAATATGGTACACCTGCGTCGTTTTTTTGTGAACAACTCACCGCTTTATATACAGAACCGTCCCATATTGCCGATATTGAGGTCGTGTTTCTATACACTCTGCAGCCCTAGCGGAACAACAACAAAGACAGCAGAACCAGCAAAATGCCCTTCTGTTAGGTCGATCAGGCCAGCTGTCCGACGCCACAGCCTCGCTTCCGCAATCACTCCCCGCTCAAGCTGAACAGAGGTCCTACCATGGCAGGTACATTCCCACATTCTGCTCTTTTTTATTTTTCGTTAAAGGACTTTCAGAAGCCCTTTTATGGGGTATGTAAATATTGATGTTATAGCATGCAGCAGATAGCCATTTTGGCAAGAGAAAGTCATGATTCCAATATACAGCTGTCTTATAAGCGCTTTATCCCGTTCGTCTTATGTTAGCAGTCCCCAGTGGGTCTTGTGAAGCATGAATGCCAGATAAACTGGAAACATTTAACACCGTTTAAAAGTACCTTCAAATTGGACAGACTGCTCTTAAAATTAAAAGTTCAGCTGCTGCACGTTTCGCTAATTTTTGAATCCTATATGACTGCTATCTCGAAATCCCCCTTATTGTCTCTATAAGGCCCAGGCCTTTCAATAAATAAACATATTTCCTAAATTTACTAATATCTTATTTATATTCTTTCAATTCTTTATCTTTTTCCAAAATTAAAACTTAATTGCCTTGCTAATCTCTTAGTCTACTGTTGTTCTCTTAAATAACCCTAAAGAGGAAAAAAGTGTAAAAGCGTGAACCAGGAACCTAGAAGCCAACCATAAAATTTTAAGTACGCTAACGTTTCCATTGTGCTCAGCAAGGCCGTTAAAAAATAAAAAAAACGCATACCGGAGATCCCGTAAGTGGCTACTAGCATTGCATAGTTTGTGTATTTTGGTTGACCGATCCCTCTTCATTTAAACATCGCTAGCCAGCAATTGTATATTCCCAGTTCGCGAAGGCCTGGGGTAAGAATCTTGGATCATGTGAGTATCCATGTGTGATACATCCTATAAGCCACGGTCTTGCGTCTTGTTTGCTGCACTCGATGGTATTCTAAACCACAGGGAAATGGTGGTCCCTAATTTGTCATAGTCCGGGAGTTTCAGTCTTACTATAGCCTGGATAGAAGTCGCTGTCCCTGTCTCCAGGTCCATTGCCGTTAAGATTTAGCAATCGCTCATTGCTCGGCTCTATGCGACAGCTGGGAATATCTCCAGACTGGAGCTTCAGAACAAA